AAACTCACTTGGGCGTATCACATAAAAACAAAAAGGAAATCATTCAATTTAAAACTCCACAAAATGAAACGCCTTCTTAAATCAAATCTACCTCTCAACACGAAACTCTTAATCTATAAACAAATTCTCCACCCTTCAATGAATTACGAAATACAGCTATGGGGTACGTTCGAAAAATCCAACATTCAAAAATTCCAATCCTTCCAATCAATTTGCCTTCGCCTCCTCACCAACGCACCCTGGTACGTCAGCAACCTCGGACTCAACTCTGACCTCAAAACCCAAACGTAAATACCCTATCCAGTATCCACCCACTACTATAAATTTTTTTACAATAACACAGTCAACCACCCCAATCCACTCATTTTCAATCTCTCCTCCCTCACTCTCCCCAATAACTCACCACATCGTCTAAAGCGAAGACCTCCCCCCCCCAAAAAAAAAAAAAATATATATATAATATTGAAAGTCTAGATTTAATTTGTGTTATTTGGACACCCCCTTCTATCAAGCCGTCCAGTTTTGTAAATTATTAACTATAGGTATTACTTATTGTATAGCATAATACAGATTGTATATATTTTTTCTTTTTAATAAAAAATAAAATTGATCAAAAATATCAAATTATAATAGTAGAATTGTTTATTTTACAATTCAAAAGTTAGTTCTATAGTGGAATTTATWTGTAAAAAAGGTTCAATCCGTGGAATTTACAATATTCCATAATATACATTATTATACATAACAAATAAAATGTACCTACCTACGTCAAAAACRTATAAACAGAATATATTGGCTAAAATAAGAATTCTAAAACTATAATATATGCGTTTGTAACGATAATTATACGTTGAATGGGGCCGATATGTGTCACCGATAAGTCTTCCTATTTGAAATGAATAAAACAATATTACGAAATGGTATTCCATCGTTGTATAAATTTATTTTGTTTCATTTACTGAACRAAATAATCTAAATAAGTACCTATATAATATTATGTTAACAATGTATTGTTTTATTGCATTTTAGATGGTAATTTACAAAAAATATACAAACAGCTGGTGTCTCTTGGTTCATTAACTAACTATATAATTTTATTATTTACATTAACTATAATATTATATTATTCCTCATATCCGTGAATGTACGCGTGTTATTGGATATGATACAAATGATGACAACAAATTAATTTTGTTTAAAACGTTGKACGAATCCCTTAWATACTTTTCTAAATTTCGAATTATTTAACTATCTTACCGGCGAGTCTACAGCGCAGCAATAAAACATTTCAATTTTCCCAACTCATTAATATAATAAAACCACTGCATTCAGTTATTGTATCTACACACGTTATGTTCATTATAAATGATGAATGAATACACGGCACCTTTTTAACTGTCCAAAGTTTGGATATATGTAGGGTTGTATGATAATAATAATTGTTATACAAAATTTATAATTAATTGGATTWTATTTTGTATATAACATATCATTTTTACGTCAAAATAGTCTATATAAATATAAAATAAATCAGACCTTCAATTAAATCAATAAGGTGTATTTGTTGTTATTTGAAATAAYATTTTTGAAAAAATATACATGATTTCAACTATTTAGTCAAATTATAGAGTGAATTATAAATTATAATGTATGTTAAATAAAATATGTGTACTTTCAACGCATTAATAATATCATTACTAGTTGCATTATTATGCTATCGATTAGTAAATTAAATATTTCGTATAAACTMTCTTCAAAATGTATCTATATATACAAGCTACATGGCCATTGAGTTATATAATAAATATTTATAATTTATAGCATATACTTTGTGTAAATGAAAATAATACATTTACAGAATACCTCAGATAAAATTAAATCGAAGTGTTTCATTTAAGTGATTTAACAAATACACTTATGCATACAGAAAAATTCTAAGTAGACATGCTTCATTAAAAAATATAWAATCAAATAAAATTATAATTGAATACAACCAATAAAGTAAATTCAATCAACTTCAAATCATTAATAAAAAGAAAATCAATTACATCTGACACTGTATGGAACTTAATTTCTGGATTAATAAATAAATGTTTAAATTATTTTAAGAAATGCTCAAATACATTTACACAA